AGTCCCTTCCAATTCTGTTTTTCTGTTAGTCTGTTAGGTGGTTATGGCTTTTTCGCCACTCATAGGACTTTCTTGAAACCGTAGAAGAATGCTAGTTTTGTATGCATCTGTGGAAGCCGGGTGGATAAACTGAATCAGAAATATCAGGTAGAAAAACAAAGATCTTCTTATTGCACCATGCTCCATTTCCTTATAATCCACCATCCTGACTGTTAGCTCTGCTAATTGGGGTTATGAGAGCGAGGTTCAAGAGATACGTTGAAGGCATCAGATTGCCCTAGAGAAACAAGATAATATAAAGTTGTTTCAGCTAATGGAATTCAGGGGAACGGATGAGAGCAGAAATCAGGAAGTGGTAAGATCTGAGATATGAGCTTGACCTCGGGAATCTGTTGTGGATGTTCGGCAAGGTTTTTCTAGAAGTCTTAACTTTTTGAGTCCTCAACAAAGCCCGGTTAAAATGTTACAGGTCATCCTTGACTTATAACCACAATTGAGCTCAGAATTTCTATCTTGCTAAGCTAGATAGTTAAGTTCTTTTTGCCCCATTTGACCACCTTTCTTGCCACAGTTAACTTGGTAACACGGTTGGTAAGTAAAGCTGGCTTCCCCAGTCCCCATTTGCTTGTCAAAAGGTCACGAAAAGGGATCACATGACTTTGGGACACAGCGATGGCCATAAATATGAAGCTGTTGCCAAGCGTCCGAATTTTGATCATGTGACCGCATGACTGGACATTAACCTGTCTGAGACAGTATAGGTTCTCTGGTTGAGCAGGAGGCTGGACTAGAAGACCTCCAAGGTCCCTTCCAGCTCTACTCTACTCTACTCTACTCTACTCTACTCTACTCTACTCTACTCTACTCTATCTTCTATTCTATTCTATTCTATTCTATTCTATTCTATTCTATTCTGTTCTAAAAATGTAAATAAGAAAATACGGGGATTGAAGTAGAGGAAAGGAGAAGGAAACACATTCAGAAATGGCAAAAACAGGCTTCAGCTGGAGTGGAGTTGAATTTAAATGCTGTATTGTTGGAAATCTAAATCTGAAACTAAGTCTGAAATTCAGAATTAGATTATCAGCTTCTCCTTTTATTCAATTAAAACTGGGGTTCTGATGGGGTTGAGCTAGGCATTTGATAGCCGGTTGTTGTGGCACCGGGTGAGAAGGGGTGTTTTGTTTTTATTCTGTTTTTATGAGCCACTATGGGAGATGGGCGGCAATACGCGTTCTTTAAATACTTAAATAAATAGAAATAAAATAAAAACTTGGTTGGGAACTTACAATTACTGCAACTGAACGTGAACAATGGAATCTGCGTGTTATTGGAACATGTATCTGGGTATCAGGGGCTTAACTGTTGAAGAGCAGGGCTGAACTTATGGGTTTCATGTTTGATTTTATTTCTTTATTGCCTAACTTAATCCAAAATATACAATGGACTAAGCGTTCGTGTAAATCGACTGTCATATTTGCAAAGGTGGAAGCTGAATGGAAAACACTGCCTAACTAGTCGTATAGCCGGCTAACATTTTGATAATGTTCCTATCGAAACAGCTGTTCCTATCGAAACAGCTGTAAAAAATCTGTTCATTTGCTTGTGCTTTGATGCAAATTCACATCTGATACTTCCCTGAATGAAGACCTAAATTGAGAGATTTGGAATTCAATTGTATCTCTAGGGCGGTGTTTCTCAAAGAGCTGTGGTGGTGCAGTGGTTAGAATGCAGTATTGCAGGCTAATTCTGCCAACTGCCAGCAGTTCGATTCTCACAGGCTCAGGGTTGACTCAGCCTTCCATCCTTCCAAGGTTGGTAAAATAAGGACCCAGATTGTTGGGGGCAAAAGGCTGGCTCCATAAACTGCTCAGAGAGCAGTTAGCCTCCAGTCCCCTGATCTGAACAAATATCTCACTTAGCAAAAGAAATGTTGCACTGAAATCCGTGCCAAAATATAAGGGAAGAGAAATGCTTGTTCTGGTCTCCACTCTGTGAATGTGGAGAAACGTGTTTGTCATAAAGAGTGTGAAACAGCTATTGTGGAAATGCATCATTGATACCCTTACACGTATGTACCCCTGCTTGACTTCTGCAGCCCTACAACTTTGAATTCTGACGGTTAGGTGAGATGTGAGCGTTATAATGTGGTTTTAGGTGAGGTTGTGAGGTTTTGAGAGCTATTGTGGTGAGGTGAGCTGCAGTTTTGCAGTAACTGATCAACGTAACCATCTTACATTGCCTTCAGAGCCCCCTCCCCAATGTCTTAATGGTGGTGGTATTTGAGGTCCATTAGAATTGTTCATTGTCCCACGTTGAAAAGGGGGCAATGCTGTTTGTGCTGTAATATCATCAACTCGCCTCATGACTCAACCGACCTGAATTGCATACTGACATCACTGCTAGGATGATGTCATGGTGCGCCTGTCATTTTGGTAACACTGTGCCTTGTAACAAATACCCATGACACCAAACTGAACCTCAAAGCCATAAATTGCTGGGTTTTTTTATTATCTTGGCACTGCAGAGAAGTGCTGTCTGGAAGATGTTTTGTGTTAACGGTTAAAAGCTTACTAAGTAAGGCAAGGCTCGCGGCAGATAATGTATCCTGCAATCCTATTTAATAATGATTGTCCAAAGGGGGAGAAGTTTTGCTAAAAAGTTTTGAACCTTCCAAAAGAGATTTTAACTCTCTGTGTCTGTATAACATGTTGTAGCCCCTTGTAAGGTGGGGTGGGGTGGGGTGGGGTGGGGTGTACAATAAACGACTTTCGGCCTCTTCGTACCTTAGGGATCTGTTTTCAATTTTTCTTCGGCACTAAAATATAATTGATACCCTAGATAAAGGCTGCCTTAAACCATCACAGTAAGCCATAACATAATTTCCTTCCTTTTAGTCTAGATTCCACCCTTGTGGTCCACAAACTCTACTTTATAGGTTTGTGTGGTGTGTGAAGCCAGCAAGTTGTGCTTTATGTATTTTTTTTTTCTTTTAATGACCCTGTAATCCAGCGGCCCGGTTTCTGGCATGCCACAGACCGGTGCCGGTCCACAGAGCAGGGGTTGGGGACCCCTGCTGTAATCCTTTACATTTCCTAGTTTGGGTCAGGATCAGGGGAGCTTCGCCGTTTAACTGCCTTAAACCTACTTTGGGATTATGCTACAGTGGAGGCATGGCAGAAGGGGGCACATGACGCAAGGAGCCTCATGCTGCATGCCACAGCTTTCCACCCTTTTCTGCATGCCTCAAGGTGCACCGGCCCAAGGCTGCTTTTGTAATTTTATTAAAAAAAAATTTGATCTGGCAGAAGCCCTGTGTTACACTTTTACTCTGTTTTCCACCTCAACAGGGCAGAAAATCTCATTCCTGATTTTTGGCAGCATTTTGCCAATATTGAATAAGTCGTTGGGATTCCAGCACTAGCCATCCCAAGTTGTTCGATCAGAGCTTTCGAGATAAATACACCGGAAATTGTTTTATTGGGCTTATCACTTGGTGCTTCAACAGGGGGGAAGCATCTGAGCAACCTTTTCTGAGCTCGGAAGCTAAATAGGATTGGGGCCAGTTGGGCCTTTGATGGGAGACCTCAAGAGAATCTCAGGGCTGCAAGTTAGGATAGGAAGTGAAAAGGATGCAGGTAGAAATCAATGGCAAAGCGTGTGTATTACGGTGCGTTGTTATCCTCTACTGCCCAGAGTTCCCTGAAAATGGAGTGGGTTATGAGCATCACTAGATAAATAAATAAAATATATGGCTGCCAAGGAAATTGCATGGGTGTGTCCATGACTTTCCAGGGAGTTGAGCTCAACACAAAGGCATCTTTGCCTCTACAGGTATTTAATGATTTTCCCATTCTATCTCAATAAAAAATAATAATGGGTCTGGAGCCAATCTGGAGAATCCTATGCAACCCTGTAATATATTATCCAGTCTTCTTGATGTTTGCTGATTTCCTTTTTTTTTTTTTTTTTTTTCCTATCATACCTCTTCTTTCTTTCTTTCTTTTTTCCCTGCTGGCTTCTTAAAATGCTTTACAGAGAGAAGAGTTCTGAAAGAGACAGGAGTTCGCTGGGATTCTCCTTGATGTTCGCAAATTAGCTGCAGAATCTTTTTATTCCGATTTTTCTGTTGGCGTGTTTGATCGGCCGCAACGGTATTAAATGATCATTTTGCATGCTGTGTGTGAATGAGCCTCAGTCCAATCCTAGCGTTCTTTTGATTCTTATTGTAATAATTTATTGGCTGTCGTGTATTTATTAGTTACCAAATGTTAATAAAGTGCCAGCTCTTTTCTAGTGTGCGAGACGGTTTATTGAGCTTTCCTATACAAAGACAGGGCGGTGCGGTGGCTCGCGGTTAAGACGTTGGGCTTGTCGGCTGGAAAACTGACAGCCCAGGTTCGAGACCCAAGCGCCATGCGAGGGAGTGAGTTCGCGTTACTTGTCCCCGCTCCTGCCAAGCTAGCCGTTTGAAAACTTGCAAATGCATGGACATGCAAGAGAAGATAGAAAGGAAAAGAAAAGAAAGCAGCGACTTCTGACTTTTTTTCAGTTCCTCAACCAGGTGTAGCCTTTTCCTGATTCTCACCAACGCTATTGTGTGAGGTGAATTTTCTGGATGACTTAAAAGAGAAAGAAAACCAGGAAGAAAGCATCAGGACTTCTCAAAAGCAAAAAATGGCAGCCATGACCTCGTACTTTTTTTTTTTTACTTGTATCACGTGCTCAAGGTAATGTAAAAAAAAGAGACAACCGCTTGAAGATGGGGACAAAACCCAGGTCCTTCAGGTGAATGAAATTAACCTCCAATTTTCCTACTTCTTCTGCATCCTAAAATGATCATTCGTCCAACTCTCGTCAACGGGATTCTTTAACTTTTGTTTCCTTGACAATTGTTCTTTTCTCTTAAGCTTAACTTGGTTTCTCTCTCTCTCTCTCTCTCCCTCTCCAACCCCCTTTTTTCTCCTTTTCTGCCATCTCCTTCCTCCCTTCCGATGCAGAACCGCATGCACGAGTCTTTAATGCTCTTCGACTCCATCTGTAACAACAAATTCTTCATTGATACCTCCATCATTCTCTTCCTCAACAAGAAAGACCTGTTTGGTGAGAAGATCAAAAAATCACCTCTCACCATCTGCTTTCCTGAATACACAGGTAGGAGGGCTCTGTCCGGGATCCTCTAGATGGTGTTTTTCAACCTGGAACAACTTTAACTTCATTGAAGTCCACACCTCTTAAAGTTGTCCAGGTTGAAAAATACAGCTCTAGATTTGCAAAGGCTAAACAACCCAAGCATCCACGTGGGAGGGGGACTGACATCTCAGACACTGTGATAACAAAGGACATCATTGTGGCTTGTACCAGACATCTAGAAATGTTGGACCTCACAGATCAAGCAGAGTCTCTTGAAACACAAGAGAACATTATAGCATGAAGATCCTTGGTGGTGGTGCACGGTTAGAAGGCAGTATTGCAGGCTAACTTTGGCTACTGCCAAACTTCAATTCCCAGCATTCTCCAGCCAGCCTGGCTAGGGAATTCTGGAAGTTGAAGTTCACGCATCTTGAACTTGCTGAGGTTGAGAAATACTGGTCTAAGGAGTTTTCACTCTTCCATCCAGCTGTTGGCAGAGGTGCAGTGGTTCCGTGGAATGCTAATATGTTCTAATATGGGCGTTGTCTTACCTGGATAAGGTTCCAGAATTTTAAAATATAATTTAAATTAGCCACAGGTCACAGGGATAGTCAAATCTGGCAGGATCTTTATGTTCTCAAGTGAAATTCAAAGCATGGGTGTAAGCTTTTAAAGAACTAGGTTGTTTTGGGGGAACACTACCTTCTTTGTACATAAATGCACCAGAGTTGGCTTCTGGTTGTTTAAAACTTCTTCCCTCCTCTGTCATAATCACTAAGAAGCATCTCTAGTGCAATTAAGAAATATCCAGGATACCAGGAAAAAAGGGTTTCAGTCTTGTGTTAACATGTGGAGTTGGGAACTCTGCAAAGATTCCAGGGGGAATGCTTGAATGATGCTTCAAACCTGTAGTTAAACTTTGTGAAGCAACAAAACCCTGGTCTTCTAGAGAACAACACCCAGTTGCTTCACTTTGGGTTGATTTGTCAGTCTCCTCCAGAGCTAAAAGCCCCTTCCAGGCTTCTGATGGTCCCAGAGGGGGCTGTCAGAGTGAGTGACACAAAGAATTTGAGTGGGGCAGTTGACGTCATGGCTCCACTTCAATGAAGCGAATACAGTTGGCTCTGCATCGTGTCTTGAATGGAGTCCACGTCCCAGAGGCCTACTCAGAGAATGCATGGGGGGATGGGGGTGGAGGATGGGGTTCCTTATACTGCAGAGAATCTGTGCAAAAAATAAACCTCTTTGCACAAACTGCCCTAGAACAAGGTGACCGCGTTTAGCAGAAACTCCTATCCTGATTGTTATTTCTGAAATGACATGTGAACGTTATTAGGCTTTACAACACTCGAGAGAGAGAGAGAGTGACTGGCCCATGGTCACCCAGCTGGCTTTGTGCCTAAAGCAAAACTAGAACTCCTAATCTCCCGGTATCTAGCCTGATGCCTTCACCACCACACCTGGCTCTCAAACTTGGGTTGGGCTTGTTCAAATAGATTTGGGCACAGAAGCCATCTGCCAGCACCTCCTTCCTAGGGCTGAGAGAGTATGACTGGCCCAAGGTCACCCAACTGGCTAAGGCAGGACTAGAACTCAGAACGGCCTGGCTTTTAGCCTGATGCCTCCCCCACTACACCAAATTTTGCCATCAAAGTTGAACCACCCTTCCTAATGACCCCCTGACATGAACTCTTCCCTCTCCGCAGGACCCAACACGTACGAAGATGCTGCAGCGTATATCCAAGCACAATTTGAAAGCAAAAACCGTTCGCCGAACAAGGAGATTTATTGTCACATGACCTGTGCAACAGACACAGGCAACATCCAGGTCGTATTTGATGCCGTAACCGACATCATCATTGCCAACAACCTACGAGGCTGCGGCTTATACTGACCCCTCCCCCCCATCCCTCCCCTCTTTCTTCCCTCCCATCCTGTATAGCAAGCAGCATATTTGGAAACAATCACAACGAGAGGAAAAAAAATAATAATATATAATAAAATATTTGAAAAAAAAAAGGCAAAACAAAGTGCGAGTCTCACACACACAGACACAGACACACACACACACACACACAAACACACACACAGAGTAAAAATGAACCATGCAAGTCAGTAACTAAAAAGGCATCGTGATGATACAGACAGACACACATGGAGAAGCTCGTTTTATTTTTAAGTTTGCCTCAAAGGATTCCAATATCCCTATCGGGAACTTAGTTCTTTCCTATTTAGGTAACATGATGGCAGATAATTCAGCCTCTCTTTTTTTTCCTTCCTTCCTTCCTTCCTTCAGGAAACATAGAGAAAAATAATAATGAATAAGAATAACAGAATGATAAACCAGTTGGTTTTTCTAAAGCGTCTAGCTGCATCTTTAAGAATGTATTCTTCTGCAAGTTTAAAAAGGAATCCGTTTTCTTTTAACGAAAATAAATAAAAATTAAAAAGTAGCAACGTTATTTTTTTAAGGCATTTATGCATAGGGTGCTTTAAGGAAAGGCTTTCTTCCCCCTCCTCTTAGTTCTAAAGGATTTTTAAAGATACTGTTATCTATGGAAAAAGGTTTCTTCAAGGTACGTTACCGAGAGATCCCCGTTTGTTGTTCCCATCAGCTTTGAAAGGGTTAAAAGCAAAGGAAGGCAAAGGGAAAATTGAAAAAACGTGCACGAAACACAGGCTTCCCCTTCGTCTCTCTCCACACCGGAAAGCCACCTCACCCTACCCTTAGCCTGTTAGGAATCCCTTCCTTCTTCCCAAGCTAAAGTTGATAAATGTGGTCCTTTCTGTTTCCTGTATGGGTTAACATTCACAAGGGGAGACCAAGAAAGAGAAAAGTTCCATCCGTGGTTTGAAAGTTGGAACTACAACATTGGCCCTATCAAGTGAGGAGAGGATATTCCCCCTTGACTGGCAAGGACATGTTCTTATCAAGGAGAAATGCACCACAAAATGAGTACAACATTTATTAAAGGTAACTGTTTCCCTGTCCAACTCTAGGACAAGGTGCTCATCTCCATGTCTTGGCCAAGAGAGCCAGCGTTGTCTGAAGACATTTCCCCGGTCATGTGGCCAGCATGACATCATGGAGCGCTGTTACCTTCCCACCGAAGGGTTACCTATTTATCTACTCACATCTGCATGCTTTCGAAGTGCTAGATGGGCAGGACCACCTAGAACCAACCTAGAACCAATAACATTTATTATTTGGCTGTAATTAGGAGAGGGGTTCCTTTTAGTGCTTCTTTGGGGTACCCCCATCCATGCATGCAACCCCGCATTTGTGTTCAGGGCCCAAACCCTCTTCTGATCTTCTCTGTCTAGTCTAGAGTAGACCTTCTGCTCCCAAACTCCAGCCTCAAGGTGATCCAAGCTTTTTTGCATTGCCTTGATGTGTCCTGCTGTGTTAGAATCATGGCTAGTTTTATGAGATGCAACGAAAGGGAGTCTTTGCCCAACTCTTGCTATTTGGGAGGCAAACAAGCCAACTCCAAAAGAGAACATGAGAATAATCAAAAAATTTGCTCGACGTAAGTGCTGGGGAAGAACAGGAGGAGTCCTCAGGTCTTTCCTGCTGACACATGCAAGCACCTAACCACACCTTCATATCTACACACAGACTTACCTACATGCCACCTTTTGCTCGCTCCCTCTCTCCACACACACAAACACACCAACGGGGCGGACCATTTCTGAGGAAGGCAGCTTCCCTCCGAGATGGTTGCGATGGCCCCATCAGAGCCTTGATGGTTAAAAGGGGCGTCTTTGTTTTGCTTTAGTGAATGTTTTTGGGAATTAGCCAGAGGAGCTGCAGAGTTGCCCACCTCCTAATAGGCAATAGAGCAAAGGACCCAGAAGTTATGGGAATTTTGGTCTTGCCTCCCAATCCTTCCTCCCTATCATAACAGGTGCTGTTTTTTGTCCACAAGACACGGAGAAAGGGAGGCACTACGACCAATACAGTTCCCACACCTTAGGTTTGAAACCGACAAGAGATAGATTTAGATGCACCAAGATGGCCAGGAGATACCAATGGGAAATATCCAGGTTTATTTTCATAGTCACAGTCATTGCTATACATATTTGCAACCCTCTCCCTCCCCTTGATTCTCCATGGAAGTCCTCTCAAGGCCCTCATGGGCACAACCATCATTTTAGGACCAGCCAACAAAACGGGGTACGTTTTCTTTGGGGAGGGAGGGTTAATAATGATTGTTCTGCTTGTCTCGTTCACTCTCTGGTTTTGTATTTCATTTCTGAAGAAGCACAGCTGTCACTGGTCCAAGGGGCCGAGATTCTCTCTGTGATCTTGTTTTGATGTTTGTTCTGCTTCGAAGGCCACTTTGTACCAAACACCCGTTTTCAGTCCTTTTTTGTAGAAACGGGTTAATTGAGCTGGGAGGTTCTCTTTTTTTGTTTTTAATTCCACTCTCTAAATCTGATTTCATTTTATTTTTTTAAAGTTTCCATGCTCCCTGTGAATCGATTTTTTCATCTTGCTTTTCATTCCCTTCTTCCTCTCTGCCAATCCTTTCGTTTTGTGGTGGTATCCCTTGTTTTCTCTCTCTGTCTCTCTCTCTCTGTCTCTCTCTGTCTCTTTCTCTCTCTCTCTGTCTCTCTCTCTCTCTCTCTCTCATGTGGGGTTGTTTGTGCTGCAAAAACAAACAAAAAAAGACAAAAAAACTAGGAAAAAAGATATAAAAATTAAAAACAGACATAAAAAGCAACAAAAAATGAAAAAAAATATGAAAAACAAAACCGAATGTAGTGTTTTTATTATTTTAAAAGCCACCATTTTCATGACCAATGTTTTGTCATTTCTACTCTGATTAAGCAATCAGAGATCTTCACATTTCACCTGTCAGAAGTACCTTTGCTGGAAAAATAGCCAATTGCACCCTTTTCGATTAAAATCTGGAAAAAAAATACAGAAGAAAACTAAACACACACACACACACACACACACACAACCTATATACATCTCTAAAAAAAATGCCAGATCTTTCTAAGCCTTTCTATTACCAATTGGTGAGGTTTCTGTGATCTATTAGACACTGCCAATTTCTTTCTCTGACTAATGGAAAAATTCATGTGTAGCTTAATAAAGAGAATGTTTGTCTGTATCACCAAGAGTCTTTGTCTTTCTCCTTCTGATTGTTTAGTTGTGGTTTTCTTTTGGAAAAGACATGAGTGTGAAGGCATGTCCTAAGGGTTTGTTGACAGTCCTCTTATCTTTGTTTAATCTCTTGTTAGCAGGCCAACTTAAAGAGAGGACCACCTTGGGCAGGAGTTGATCTAAAAGACTTCTGTGGTCCCTTTCAATCCTATGATTCCAAGTCCTAGAACTAGAATTATGTCACAAATGTATTTAAGCTACTACCATGTACTGCTCTGGTTTCATGCATTTGGGGGCAAGGGAAAATTGGTTGGGTTGTCAAGTTGGCCACTGTCAACTGTCCAGTTGGCATTTCCAGATAAAGAAACTCCTGGGACATCTTTCAAGGGAATCTTTCCCAAGACTTGAAATAGACTGGTCCAGAAAATGCAAGTCTTTCTTTATCTAGTTCTTTATCTAGGGGTAGGCAACCTGGGCTCTTTTATGACTCATGGACTTCAACTCCCAGAATTCCTGAGGGAAGAGGGTGCCGATTTATTCTCCAAAGCACCAGAGGGCAGGACAAGAAGTAAACGGTGAGAGATCATTAAAGAGAGATGCAACCTAGCACTAAGGAGGAACTTCCCGACGGTGAGAACAATTAAGCAATGGAACAACTTGCCTCCTGGAGTTGTAAGTGCTCCATCGCTGGAGATTTTCAAGATTGGATAAGTGTTTTGTCTAAGATGGTATAAAGACTCCTGCTTTGGGCAGGGGATTGGACTAGAACGTCAAGGTCCTTTCCAGCCCTAGGATTCTATGATTCCCAGGGATGGAAGTATGATAAGAAGAAGCTAGCAGCCGAGATATTGAGTAATTTAGAAGTGTGTGAGCTGCTGTACCATCACCTAGAGCAGGGGTCTTCAAACTTGGCCCTTTTATGACTTGTGGACTTCAACTCCCAGAATTCCTCAGCCAGGCACGCGTGCCTGGCTGAGGAATTCTGGGAATTGAAGTCCACAAGTCATAAAAGGGCCAAGTTTGAAGACCCCTGACCTAGAGGGAATGGGACAACTCGACGCAGCCAACTCGCCATGGTCAACTCACCACAGCCAAAGCTCAACTAGCAGATCCATCCTCCATCCCCAAAGTCCTTCCGGTTCTGAACAGTTGCAGCCCTGTCCCTAAATGGCAAGGGACATTTCCCCTTGTGCTGTCCTAGGAGCTCATGACCCAGGCTCAACTTGGATCAGAGCCCTCAGCTGATTGTGACAGAAAATGGTGCTTGAACAGGTGCTCCGGGCAGTGTCCCTTCCAAGACCTCTTCGCAAAGTCATGGCTGTGATTTTTGGCCACGGACGGCTGGCTTTCGGGCAGTGCGGAAAGAGGAACCAGGAAGTGTACAAAATCAGCCTCTCTGGTTCAGCGCTTTATCTTCAGAGCGTGGCTAATGCAAGGCTTTTTTTTTCCTCCTTTCTGCACCACTGCGCTTTTGCATGTGTCCAACAAGCAGTGCAGAGACGGTGAGGGGAAATAAGCCTGTTGCTAAAAGATCACGGTGTGAAGAACATTTTAAAGCTGCTCAGACGAGTCAATCAGTGAGCAGCAAAGTCAGAATAACAGAGTAACGGAGCTACCTACAATCTTTCACGGTCCCCTCCTTCTCTCTCTCTCTCCTTTTTTCAAAGCTTTTAAATTAGTAAACGCCGCATTACCCTGGCCTGGATCTCTGTGCTTTTAATTCTGGGGTATATTTCAGACTGTGATGTTGTTAAGAGGGAGAGAAAACTTCTTGGAAGCCAGATTTTACCCAGGTAGATTAAGTGGGATTCCTGGAGGCCATTTCATAAATTTAATAGCCAGGCAGATAGAAAACAGAACATAGAATAGTAGTGTTAGAAGAAACGTTGGAAGTCTTTTAGGCCAAACTTCATCCATCACCCAGTTTGCTTTGCGCCTAAAGCGGGACCAGAACATAGAATAATAGGGTTAGAAGGGACCTTGGAGGTCTTCTAATCCAACCTCCTACTCAGTCAGGAGATCCTATACCATTCCAGACAAATGGCTGTCCAATCTCTTCTTAAAAACTTCCAGTGTTGGAGCATTCATAACTTCTGGAGGCAAGTCGCTCCACCGATTTAATTGTTCTCTCTGACAGGAAATTCCTCCTTAGTTCTAGGTTGGTTCTCTCCTTGATTAGTTTCCATTCATTGGTTCTTGTCCGGCCTTCTGGTGCTTTGGAGAATAGCTTGAATCCCTCCTCTTTGGGGCAGCCCCTCACATACCAGTATTAGAAGACTGCTAGCAGATTTCCCGTCCTGCGTAGTGAGACGGTTGCCAAAAGCGAGGAAGGAACACATATCTGTGCGTTTTCAGTTTCCCCTCGTTTGCCGGGAACATCACAGGAGGAATAAGGACTGCTTATGGAATTTAAACCTGCTTAACGGGACTCATTCATGGTCAACCAAGCTTAACATCTTAATTCAAATGTAGCAGCTATTGTGACTTTTGACCCCCGTTAAGCGGGTTGTGTGAACACAGCCATTCCATTATATATATAAAAGCCTCATTCCTTTCTTTTTTAAAAAAAAAAATCCCCTTTTTTTTTCATCCTTCTAATCCCTGAAATAGGTCATTCTGCTGAAGGATCCAATGAGGTAGGTACCATCTAGTGGTAGCTGACCTAAATAGCTACTTTGGAAGAAAAGAAAATATTCCAAGAAAATGGGTAAATTTCATAGCTATTCTATGAATTACGGGGAAGGGGGCATGCTTGGGAAATCAAAAGTAAGTCCTGTGTCATCCTGAGAAGCTGCTTCAAGGTCACCCAGCTGGAATAAGGAGGGAATAGCATACCAGAGCATGCCTGAACTGACCGCTAGGAGAACAGCTTGCAAGATTTTAATTGGTTACCTTGAGGTGGGAAAGGAATTAATTAAGGAAGGGAAAGTAGGGGAAAGTATAATGTAGGGATTTTGCCACACAGTTATGGCTATGCATTACTGCAATACACTATATCTCTAATAAAAATATACCTTTCTCAGCAAATGGAGCCATACTTAAGAGGTTTAAGTTCGTGGCAGGTCTGACAAACTATATCACTAAGAGATGGACAAGCTCTCCACGATGAGAAGAAATCCTAGTTTTAGAAGGGCAAAGGTCCCAAAAGGTGGGCTGATGACCCCCACAGTGGTGGGACAAGGTTACATCAAGATTTTTTAAAAAAATCAACGTAATTTGTGCTGAACTGTTAAGCTGCTTCACATGGAAATGTCAACACGTCGAAGTAGGAAATTCAGAAATACGCTTTGCTTTCAGCAAAGAACTCAACTCTCTGAAGGGACAACTGCACAAGCGTTGCCACTGAATGTTCGCACACTCACCTGTAGCGCTCAGAAGATTTCCTGAGGTGAAACTGACCGGTAGGAAGCAAGTGTGAAGCGAAAGGGGCAGAAAAAGACAACTGAAACCTTTCCAAACACTGATCAAAGAGTTTTTATTTTCCTTTTTTTAAAACAATAAAAACAAAGAGCCGAGTTCTGAGCAAAAACTGAGCCACAAAAGAGTCTGTATTTTTTCCCCCTTCCAAAGTTTAAACAGCATTGAAAAATAAGGCTTTGCAAAGGGTATATCAAAATAAATTATCCTCACTTAAACACTGTCCAGTTTTCTTATACGGTATTCACCTTTAAATGTCCTAAAAAACTAGCAGTGAAAGAAATTCCTGTTTTGTTTTTTTTCATTAATACTGGGGCTCTTTCTGGATACAGGGGATTCTCCTGAAACACTTAAAAATGACTTGCCTTGCATTGTAAACATATTTACGGAGCCAAAAACCTAAAAAGGCTTCCGACATACTTACTAGCAATTTAAGGATTGGAGAACTGCTGCAATATACCTAACTACGTATCAAATAGCCCTCCGGTCTTTTGAGCCTGTACATCTTGCCAAGCTAACGTTATTGCGAAATGTACACTTAAAAAAAAAATAATAAATTCTGCAGGCTGCCCCGCCTGTCCTAAGGAAATGCCATCTTCTGAAAGTCAGCAGGGGGTTCTCTGCAATTTACCTCCACGTTGAATGTTGAACGCTAGCGACAGTTAAACTGAATCTTCTCGCCAGCCTCTCGGGGAAAAGCAACCCAGAGGTGATCAAACTTTCCATGGCCAGGAAGGGAGGGAGGGAGGGAATCTGAACATCGCGCTTCGAGTCTTTTTGAAACTGCAGCAAAACATTTGCTCTGATGCAACACCTGCACATTAGCACACTTTGCTTCCCTGCCCCAACCTGTAGAAGTATCCCCTTTACCAAAACGATGCTGCATACGTTTGGGATGAAAAAAGCCAGCAGCCACGAGGAGGAGGAGGAGGAGGAGAAAGAGAAGGAGGAGGAGAAGGAGAAGGAGAAGGAGAAGGAAGAGGAGGAGGAGGAGGAGGAGAAGGAAAAGGAGGAGAAAGAGAAGGAGGAGGAGAAGGAGAAGGAAAAGGAGGAGGAGGAGGAGGAGAAGGAGAAGGAGAAGGAGAAGGAGAAGGAGAAGGAGAAGAAGGAAAAGGAGGAGGAGGAGACGACCATTTCTTTTAAAAAAATATAACCCTTCACTTCTCACTTATTCCACTACTTCTCAAAAGAGCTTCATATTGGCAAGGGACTGTCACTCACAGTCCACAAACACGCGCGCGCCCCCCTCTTTCCTCTCCCCTTCCTGCGACACACAGTAAGCTTGAAAAGTTGCTCAAGGGTGGACGTAGGGATAGGCACCCCCCGAAAAAGAAAAAGAGAGAAAAACCCAACCTCAAAGAAATCAAGAATCCCGAGAAAAAAGCGAAGGGGGTCAGCCGTCCAAACACTTATTAGGAGCGATCGCATGCGCTTTTTTTTTTTTTTCAAGAGTTGGAGGCACAGCCAACCTGATCCCTGGTCCCCAGCGCCGCCCGTGGTTTGCCGAGCTCGGGACGAGATCCCAGCAAGAAGAGCGAGGGGTGAATATCTAGGCTACCGATGGGGAAGGAACAGCGGGCCGGAAGCGTTAGGAGGGATGCTGTTTCTGTAATCTCCGCTCGGCGGCGGCGGCCAACATCCTGCGTCGCAAAGTGAGGGAGTCGGAGGCTGCTCCTTCAGCCTGGGAGGAGAAGTCCGGGATGGGATCATCAGAGCTTTTGTCAAGGTAGCGCCTGGAAAAACAGGAAGAGATTTTTTTTTTGTGGCCATTACAGGGATCGCTCTTGGGCTTGCCTGCCGCTTCGCTTTTGTTGAACAAAGTGTCTTTCGGCTGCGCTCAATCAGTTCATCAGCAACTACAGGAAGTGCTCGACTTTAGTGACCGTTCAAAGAAACAACGGCACTGGAAGAAGTGGCTTATGACCGTTTTTCACAGTTACGGCCTTTCTAGCCTCCTCTATGACCATGTGGTCAAAATTCAGAGGCTTGGCAAAAAGTTCGTCTTTATGACGGTCGCAGTGTCGTAGTGTCTGACAAGCAAAGTCAATGCGGAAGCCAGATTCACTTAACAACTGTGGCAAGAAAGGTCGTAAAAGGGGACACAAAACTCACTTCACAAATTCACGCTAAACAATATAAATTTGGGGCTATTTTTGCAGCGCCGTTGTAACTTTAAATGGTCACCCAAACGAATGCTTGTAAGTTAAGAGCTACTTGTCATCTTGTGCTCAGCACTTACAATCCCCATAGGCAGAGAAAGAGATGCGCACAGGGTCTTCAGACACACACACACAAACACACAGAGGACATCTGCAGAGTCCAGAATTACAGAATCACAGAGTTGGAAAGGACCTTTGGAGGTCATCTAGTCCAACCCCCTGCTCGAGCAGGAGACCCTTACAGAATTACAGCACAACAGAGTTGGAAGGTCCAGACTAGTGACAGCAGAATCAACCATCACACAGTAGTATCAAAATATCCAAACGTGCCTCTAGTTCTTTTTTTGCTAAATCTTCTCAATGGATCTTTCAGGAAAGGCTCTGTAAATGTTGTGTATGGCCTGTGGTTGGGGGAACCGCGGGGGAGGAAATATCCCAACTTGCCCAGAGCCTCCTCCAGACACACACACACCTGCGTGCTTGTTGCAACAGCTCCTCCTTCCTCTGAAGCAGCATCCTCTGCCTCTCGTCAGCCGACTTGGAGAAACGGCTGCCTCTCACCTCGAAGTCCTCCGTCTCGGCAGCTTCCGCTTCGGCTTCATTAAATGCCGCCGTGTCTTCCAGCCTGGAGCTGAGCTCAAGCGGGATCCTTGCCATCTGCCAGGCAGGGCGAAAGGGGGGAAAGAGAACCATGGACCGTTTGCGTTTGTTCGTTTATGAATTCGGTCAACACGTTTCTTACGACAACGGAGCACGAGAGGAGGAAATTGGCAATTGGTAACAAAATGCACACAAGAGGAAAAGAGGGGGGGGGGAAACATTGTAAAAAGCTGTAAAGGTGGGCATCCCTGTCCTGAAGTAATTGACTCAGCCAATTCCTTACAGAGAAAACTCTCTCTGTACAGATAGCAATTGCAATAGCACTTAGACTTATATACCGCTTCACAGTGCTTTGCTGCCCTCTCTAAGCAGTTTACAGAGTCAGCCTTTTGCCCCCCCAACAATCTGGGTCTTCATTTTACCAATCCCGGAAGGATGGAAATTCTGAATCAACCTTGTGCTGGTCAGGATTGAACTCCTTGACAGTGGGCAGAGTCAGCCTGCACTACTGCATTCTAACCACTGCGCATCATGGATGGATGGGCAATAGCACTTAGACTTATATACCGCTTCACGGTGCTTTACAGCCCTCTCTTAGCCCTCTAAGGATGAATGGATGGATAGAAGGAAGGGCAATAGAACTAGCACTTAGACCAGGGGTAGGCAACCTTGGCTCTTTCATGACTTGTGGACTTCAACTCCCAGAATTCCTGAGCCAGCATGGCTCAGCTTGGAAACCTCGTCCTTTCCCCTCAGCGTGGCTGGCTCAGGAATTCTGGGAGTTGAAGTCCACGAGTCATAAAAGAGCCAAGGTTGCCTACCCCTGACTTAGACTTATATACCGCTTCACAGTGCTTTACAGCCCTCTCCAAATGGTTTACAGAGTCAGCCTATTGTCGCCAACAATCTGGGTCCTCATTTTACCGACCTCGGAAGGATGGAAGGCTGAGTCAATCTCCAGCCGGTTAGGATCGAACTTTTGGCAGTGGGCAGAATTAGCCTGCAATACTATATTCTAACCACTGCACCACCACAACTTTTAATTATAGCCTTCTTTTCCCACCTTACCTCCATGTCCTCTTCAGCTTCTTCTTGATCGGTACTCTGCCTTTCTACAGGACTGTTCAAAGCTGGTCGGATACTGTCAGAACGCTGTGCATGTTTTTTTTAAAAAAACAAAACAGAATTAACTGATATGGAAAACATGAAAACTTCCTTTTTTGTAAGCACTTAAAATTGCATAATGGATCCTGCTGAAGCTCCCATCCCAAGGCCATGGAGAACACGGACTGATTATTTTTTTTCGTTCAAATTTTATTAGTTTATCAGAATAGAAAACACAAAAGAAAAATGAAAATAATGGGGAACTAGGGGAGGAAAAAGGGAAGTGTAGGTAGGGAAAAAGGGAAAAAAGAAAAGAAAAACACTGACTTCTGACTCTTTTTAGCACAGTAAAAGATAGTAACATTACAGCCTCAAATTTTTGCTTTTATCTCGTAATATGTATTAGCCATTTCTATAACAACAAACCTATTTAGTCAGCAAAACCCAAAATTTCATTTTTTTTCCATCTCAAGCACAAAATCCAGAATTGGTTTCCAAGTGGAAACAACATTGGATATATTCTTTATTTTAAATAAAGCAGTGAATTCAACCGTCTCTACTTTTTTTCCTTGTGGGAAGTAATATATATTTGTATTTGCACATTAATCTTTATAAACTATAAGGTTTATAGTTCATAAAGATTAATAAGTCATTTATCAGACTTGCAAGGCTGCAAAGACTTCTATCTATCTATCTATCTATCTATCTATCTATCTATCTATCTATCTATCTATCTATCTATCTCCTTCTTCTTTCTCCTTCTCCCTGTTCATCTCTCTCATCTATCTACCTGTTTTCATCTATCTCTCATCTATCTACTTATCTCCTATCTATCTATCTATCTATCTATCTATCTATCTATCTATCTATCTATCTATCTATCTATCTATCTATCTATCATCTATCATCTCTCTCCTTCTCCTTCTTTCTCCTTCTCCCTCTTCATCTCTCTCATCTATCTACCTATTTCTCATCCATCCATCCATCCATCCATCCATCCATCCATCCATCCATCCATCCACCTACCTACCTACCTACCTACCTACCTACCTACCTACCTACCTATCTCACCTATCTGTCTGTCTGTCTGTCTGTCTGTCTAATGTATAATTCAGGAACACTGTGTGCATTCTGCACCATAGACATTTTGAAGAATTAGCTGAGCTGAAACTGCACCCTCTGAATTCCCAGTTTCTTTTGTAAGGATGGTTCACAAGCCCATGGAAGGGCTTTAAAAGCTTGTGTGGTCTTTACAACTGTAAATACTCACTGTTATCAAGTAGACCAGACAGGAAACCAGACGAGTTAATTCTACTTTGTTGTAAGGCTACATTAACAGACTCGTGCAAGTTTGAAAGTACAAATCTCCTACTGTCTCTTTTAGAGCCTGAGAAACTGGCAAAAGTCCCTTCTGAGCCTCTTGCTCCATCCACTCTACAGCTGCGGGCTATGCCCTCTCTTATCTGATCGTTTCCTAGCCAGCATCTCTTTCCCCGCCTCCATAACCTCTTTCCCGCATACCATTACATTATGTCACAACTCTATGGTAGCTTCTTACATGGTTATTACCATGTTATTATGGTAGCTTCTTACATGGTTATTATCTACCAGTTAAATAAGATAACACAGATAAGACAGATGGACACACCAAAACTTGAAGAGATCAATCCACAAAATCATCTGCCTTTGAAAAAAATATCTGGCAGTTATTTGATGATTTTGTTCCCTATATCTTTTGGACAACGAATGTATTGTCTTAAAGCTTCAGCGTTATACGTTCAATTTCATATCACTGACAATAGGAAATTCAGAGGGGTTGTGTTTTGTTTTGTTTTTGGCAAGGCCCTTGACTGTGGAATAATATGAAAAGTAATTTGCATCCTACTCCAAAAACACTTTGTTTTTTTAATCAAACCCAACAACATTCAGAGTTGACTAGGTGGAGTAGAAAGGACTCCACACAGCTCATCCCAACCAGGTTTGACAATACGCCACAAAACAATTCCAAATGGGTGGAGTAGACCACACAGCCTTTTAAAGATCTTCCATGGGCTTGTGAACCATCCTAACAAAAGGAACTGGGAATTCAGAAGGTGCAGTTTTAATCCAGCTAATCTTTCAAAATATCTGTGGTGCAGAATGCACACAATATTCCTGAATTATATATACTGTATTTTGAGGGAGGGGGGATGGATTAGATAGATTAGGTAGGTAGGTAGATTAGACAGATAGGTAGGTATGTAGGTATGTAGATCAGATAGATAGATAGATAGATAGATAGATAGATAGATAGATAGATAGATAGATAGATAGATAGATAGATAGATAGATAGATAGATAGATAGACAGACAGACAGACAGACAGACAGACAGACAGACAGAGACAGACAGAGAGTGAGAACGATGGATGGATGGATGGATGGATGGATGGATGGATGGATGGATGGATGGATGGAGAGACAGACAGACGGACAGACAGAGAGACGATAGGAGAGAGAGAGAGAGAGAGAGAGAGAGAGAGAGAGAGAGAGAGAGAGAGAGAGAGAGATGATAGATGGTGCTAAATGATTTTATTTGTTAATGATTTTATCCATTGTGTTCTATGGTTTTTGATTGTAATGGTTTTTAATGTTTCAGTGTTGTCTGCTATAAGCTGCCGAGAGACGTTGAATATGAGATGGGCAGAAAATAAATTTCATAATAAATAAACAAATAAATATGAGAGAGAGAGAGAGAGAGAGAGAGAGAGAGAGAGAGAGAGAGAGAGAGAGAGAGAGAGAGAGAGAGAGAGAGAGAGATGATAGAAAGACTGACAGAAGACCATATAGATAGTAGACAACGACAAGGATCATAAGACAGTGGTGACAGATGTAGCAGCGCCAGGTGACAGCCGCATCAGGGAGAAGGGGCAGCAGAAGCCGGAGACGTTCCAGGGCTTGAAGGAGGAATTGGAGAGGATATGGAAAGGAAAGGCCCTGGGGGAGTAGGAGCAACTCAGGGCTGGGACTTCTTAGCAGGGACAGGAGCCCCAAGAGATCCCAGGAATGCCGTCGGAGCTCCATGTCCAGAAAAGTGCAGTGCCCTCAAACTCCCACCCCAAGTATCTTGCCCAGTTCACAGTCCGTTGTGTTGGACCCACCTGTGTTGGGAAAGGCACCTGGATGCGTCCCTCTAAAATATTGTCGGTTGTTATTTCTACTGAGCGGGTCAGCTGCAGGTCCTGGAGAACGAGGTGGTAAGGAACCTGGGGGAACATCTCCTGGATCTGATGGGCCTAGGGAAACAACGCCAAAATTGCTCAGGAATTAAATCAGCTGACAAAAATCTCCAACCATCCAGATCGGCATTTTTTTATGACTTAACAACAGTCCGTTTAGTGACTATTCAAAGTTACAACTGAAAAAAAAGGAACTTGTGAACGTTTTTCACACTTATGGCCATTGCAGAAGCCCCACGGTCACGTGATCAAAATTCGGACACTTGGCCACTGACTCGTACTTATGACGGTTGCAGCGTCCCGGAGTCACGTGATCCGCTTTTGCAACCTTCTGACGAGCAAAGTCAACGGGGAAGCCGGATTCACTGAACAACCGTGCTGCTAACTTAACAACTGCAGTGATTGACTTTAACAACTGTTGCAAAAAAAGGTCATAAAAGTGGGCAAAACCCACTTTAAAACTGTCTCACTTAGCAACAGAAATTCCGGGCTCCACTGTGGTCGTAAGTCAAGGACTACCTGTATTTGGCCCAATATTTCTCAATCTAAGCCACTTTCAGGTGTGTGGACTTCAACTCCCAGAATTCCCCAGTCGTGAGGTAAATCTTTTTCTCTCCATCATTTATTCCACAGCAATGGATGATAGTTTGTAAACATTTAGGCTACAAGAGAGGGGCTAACTTTTGGAGACCCCCAAAACGGATGGCGCTACAGACAGGATTTCTTTACACCAACAAAATATAAACTGGGGGGGGGGGCTCACCATGGCGTTGAGCTGAGAGTTGCTGGCCTGAGCGATCCCAAGGATGTTTGTGGTGTGCATCACCTCGACCGAAAAGCTTGGGAGCCAGCTAGCGATGCGAGACCCTGGAGAAGAGAAACCAGAAGATCTCTGAGGGACCCTTCCCTTTCCTTGTCCTCTCTGTGGTTTTCCACACAGGTTCACACATGGCATGCCAACACTTATTTAGCTAAAGCTCGGTCAATGTTCAAGAAATTTAATGTAAAACAAAGGGTTGTTGTTCCCAACTCTGCTGAGCTTTAGGAAGTCTATCAAGGTCTGGCCATTTCCCTAGACCTTTAGGTCATGGAGTATTGCATGTATGAAACCATCCTAAGAATGCTTATATCATAAATGGTCCCCCCTTCTGGAATATTCTCCCGTCAGACCAAATATTTGTGAGTCAATGCCCCACAACTCTTCACCAGACGCACGTTAAGTTAAGCAGGACCATGCAAGCTCCCGAACCTTCTCAACCACCCAGATATTTCGGGCCGGTGAAGATGCCGGAGGACGTGAACTCACCATCGAAGTGGAAGAAGTGATTGTGCTGGTTGAGGTGAGGCCTGCCTTCGGCTGCTGCCACAGGGGGCAGGTTTTCATCCAGGTTCTCCCTCTGGTGATCCTCTGGAGCCTGCTGGTGGTCTGCAATGTTCAGGGACATCCTACAGGTCGGGCAGGAGGTGTCCTGCTCGAGCCAGGAGCGCAGGCATGAGCTAAGAAGAAAGAGAAAAACCTACATGGATTTCCTTAGACTAGGGAACGAAAGGAATGTTTGTACGAGCGTGCTGGTTTTCTTGCAGACGTTTCATGACCCCAACTAGGTAACATCATCAGTGCTACGTAGTTAAGGAGAGCCACTTGCTGTCAGTTTATATCCTGGCGTCTTGCCTGTCTGGGGGGTATTAAGGATTCTTTGGTTGGGCTGTTTACTAATATTTGTATGTTTGTTTTCATTCGTAATGAAAGAAATGTTTCTGTGATGAACGGTTGAGGGAGCCACGGTGGAAATGTCTAGTCCAGGGGTAGGCAACCGTGGCTCTTTTATGACTCGTGGACTTCAACTCCCAGAATTCCTGAGCCAGCGTGGCTCAGCTTAGAAACCTCTCCCTTTCCCCTCAGCATGGCTGGCTCAGGAATTCTGGGAGTTGAAGTCCATGAGTCATAAAAGAGCCAAGGTTGCCTACCTCTGGCCTAGGCCTAGGCCGCTTTATGACTGGTGGACTTCAACTCCCAGAATTCCTGAGCCAGCATGGCTCTACTTGGAAACCTCTCCCTTTCCCCTGGCTGGCTCAGGAATTCTGGGAGTTGAAGTCCATGAGTCATAAAAGGGCCAAGGTTGCCTACCCCTGCTCAAGTTTATCAAAGAGAAGGATCAGAGCAGACACAATAACCGTCTTCCAGTACAGATAATCCTCCACTTACAACAGTTCATTTCGTGAGCGTTCTAAGTTACAACACCAGTGAAAAAAGTGACTTTTGACCATTTTTAACACTTCTGACCATTACAACACCCCTAGGGTCACAGTCAGACACTTGGCAACTGACTCATATTTATGACGGTCGCAGCCTCCCCGGGGTCACGTGATCCCCTTTTGCGACCTTCTGACAAGCAAAGTCAATGGGGGAAGCCGCATTCCCTTAACAACCGTGCTACTAATTTCACAACTGCCGTGATTTGCTTAACAAATGTGGCGAGAAACGTTGTAAAATGGGGCACAACTCACTTAACGAATTCCTCGCCTAGTAACATAAATTCTGGGGTTAATTCTTAGGTCGTTAGGTCGAGGACTACCATGTACTTGAGCAGCTGTCACAAAGAAGAGGGGATGGACAGCGAGGATTGTATTTGCACAGCACCGGAAAAATGAAAAAACACCACGGGAGGAAGAGATAATTAAGAAAATGCTGGACTGTGCGGAAATGGGTAGACTGACACTGAGAATTAATGAACAAGAAGATAAAGAGTATTATCAAACATGGGACCTATTTTATCAACGGTTGGAAAAATGGGACAGAGAGTAAGAACTTAATTGGTATTACTAAACATAATAAATTAACCCAGACAACCCGTTGTTCATTACGCACTAAAGAATTGTAATAACAGAAAATTAATAAAATATTATGTACAAAGAAGACGGGATTAACTTGTTCTCCACAGTGCCAGAAGGCAGGACAATGAAATGATGGGTGGAAGCTTGTCAAAGAGAGATGCAACCTTGAAGTAAGGAGAAATTTCCTGAAATTTGCTAAAGTTTTCAAACAAAGACTGGATAACCATTTGACTGGGATGGTATAAGGTCTTCTGCCTTGAGCAGGGGGTTGGATTGGAAGACCCCCAAGGTCCCTTCCAGTCCTAATGTTCTATGTTTTTTTTTTGTCATCGCCAAGGAAGCAATCAAACATGTAAATGTCCCATCATCCTCATCACCAACACCATCGTCATCATCATCATCACATTGTGCATGACATTTTTCCTTCCATGATCAAAGCTTGTCCAGTTCTGGTGTGGATATTCTGTTGTAGATGGTCAAAATCTTTTTTTTTTAATTGGAAACCAATCTATAGCTGTAGCTATAGAGATGAGAAAGTCAGTTATGAGGTGGACAGAGTTTCAAACTCCGGCTTAAGAATAATGAAGTCAGATAATTATTATGAGATAATGGTTTTAGTTCTCAGTAAACAAATCTTGAAAGTCCTTGGTTCTCACGAACTGACCTTTTGATATCAGAAGTCCGCATTCCATTCTCCGCTCACCTCCCCCCAGGTTCGTAGGCAAACTAAGAAGCAATAGTGGCTGAAACAGCATAAGTGTTCTTCAAGGCTTGACAGACTCGACTTACAATCTTTGGGGTCAATTGCGGTTGTATATCAAGGACAATCTGTATTCTCCACCCTCAACTCTACGGAGACCGAGTGATTTAATAAGGCTAAACATCACTTGATTCATGATGCCAAAGGTAGAAATGATGCCCTAAGTGTCAGGGGCAAAGGATCAGGACCGTATGTTGAGTTTCAGTTGAGATTTATTGCTCAAGCCTACACACAAGAATAAGTTCAGTACTAAACTGGCACCGGATATGGGTCCATGGAATTCAAGAAGGGTTGGACTTGAACCATTTGTGGGAACGTAACGATTCTAGGCTCATGACTTGTTTAACTCCACCCTCGGCTCTGCCTGCTCTTCTCCTACATTAAGTTCATCTCCCAAGGAAAGAAATAATTCCTTTCAAGGTACACGGAAAAACAACGCTGAAGGGGCGGGGCCAGGCTACTCAAGGGAACGCAAATGCTGGCAAGTAGAGAGTAATTATCTTATTAGATCCTGCTTAAAACACTGGCAAATATTTGTGGCGCAGCTTGCAATGAATGACAACAAAGTGGCCTTGAGACCAGAATGGGAAAAGCAGGAGAAGCATCCATCAAAATCACACACTCTTGCTGACTTCAAATCTTAAGGTTGGGTTTACACAACACATGGGAACAGCAATTTCGGCCAAGTCACACAAAACCTTCCCAGAAACTCAGACTTTCTCTGGTGACAGGAGATCCATTAAAATACATTGTTAAGTGGCCACATCTCATATCTCAATGTTCCTGCCCAAACTTCCAGAATACTTCAGATTAAAAAACAACAAAACCTTGCAACATTTCAGTCCAAAATTATCAACGTCCTGTAAGATTTCAGTTGAGAATAGGGAAATCTTCCAAGGTTTGGAGGCGAGAATGCTGAAAATTTGGTGAAAGTACGTAACACAAGAAATGATTTTTGGATGGATGGGCAAACAGACAAAACAGATGATATATCGATTAGCCTTATGAACGTATCAAAAAAATAAAACAAAATAAAATACAGGATCTAACTCTAGGGCAAGAGATAAAAGAAAATACAGTAATAAAATAGTACATATTTGGTAAATACGAAGAAACAACATTCAGATATCAGCTTTACAGGGTACCCCAATCTGATTTTGGAGACATTTAGGGGAACCAATGTAATCATGCAAATAAATCATCATCCTGATTTATTTATATTCAGTGTATGCCGTTAAACTTATTAAGACTCACAACAGTGCTGAGAAGTCCAGCTGAAGTTTTATTGTCGTGGATGAAACGGCAGCCAATCGGCATTTCGTGATAAGAGCAGGCAACTTATTCTACCTTGCCTTGTGTCCCCCCCACCCACCTCCTCCCAGGACTTACTTATGGAAGAGGTGTCCGCAAGGGAGCTTCCGGGCGGCCTGCATGGAATCCCAGCAAATAGCGCAGTCATCGTTGTTGGAGGCCAATTCTTCAGGAGTTGCCACCGCAAACCTAGGGAAGAGAGACGTGACACCAGGGTGAGCTGGACTGTCAGCTACGGGCAGTTTTCGACTTACGACCACAGTTGGGAAAAGAATTTCACTTGCTAAGCTCAGAGCTGAAGAAGCTTCTTGGATGAGAAGCAAAAGATCTTCAAAGAAAAACAAGAAAGTCCAGTTGCCTCGTGAAAAAGCATCTCTGGGACATTCTCATCTGTCCTGTGACCTTCTCCTATTGGTATCTTAGGATTTATCACTTTGTTGCTTGTATGCCCGCTGACAGCTGATGCACCAGAGACAAGCTCCTTGTGTGGCTAGTCAAACTTGGCCGATAAAGAATATTGTGTCGTGTTTTAATTATTTTGCAGCTATGATGAAGGTCACCCCAATTCCCCCCAAAAGCATGAGTATGAGACACACAAGGCCCCAAGCTGGGGGTTTCCAGGTTTCTCGCTCTAGAATTCAAGGATCAGGCTCACCTTGCTTCCATGTTTCCAACCACCCGCAGGTAATTCTTATGGCGCCGCAGTCTGCGCTGAACTTCATGGAACAGGTAGCGCAGCTGCATAAAGATCACCAGACTGGCCATCGACAACCAGATGTTGCCAAACAGCTTCCAAATATATTATTTCCCAAGAAGAGCAGGAAAGCAAATCGCCGTTGCAAGAGAAAGAACACAAATACAGAAAAGAGAATTATTTGACGATGCCCAGTCAAACCTTCTTCAATGAAGCGTTTATCCTATTTAGGACACAGATACTTTATGCCCCAAAATAAAAGGAAATGGATGAATGGCTGCAGAGGTTGAGGGGAGTTAGCCGAGATGGCTGAATTGATTGCTCTGATTAAAGAAAAGAACACAATTATTTTTGTTTCTACTTGGAAACCGCTTTTGGACTTTGTGCCTGAGGTGGGAAAAAATGAAACTTTGATTTTGGGTTTTAACCGATTAGATAGATTTGTTGTTACAGAAATGGCTAGTTTATGCTATTATGTAAAAGTAAAAAGTTGAAGTTTGATGTTATCTTATTCTACTGCACCAAAGGGAGCTGGAAGTCAATGCCTTTCTTTTTCCCCTTTTCCCTACACTTTCCCCTCACCTATTTTTCCTATTTTTTTGTATTTCCAACCAGTGGAACAGCTTACCCCCAGAAATCGTGGGCGCTCCATCACTGGAGATTTTTAAGAAGAGACTGGACAGTCATCTGTCTTAGTATAGGGTCTCCTGCTTGAGCAGGGGGCTGGACTAGAAGACCTCCAAGGTCCCTTCAAGCTCTATTCTATTCTATTCTATTCTATTCTATTCTATTCTATTCTATTCTATTCTATTCTATTCATTATTAACTTGCCACAGCCAACTCACTACGGCCAATTTGCTGGGGGACAACTCGTCATGGGCAATTCACCACGGGAGAGCTTGCTGTGGGGCAATTCAACAACTCAATTTAATTATTTAAAATAATTAAAACATTATTTTAATTTTTGTCATTCACATTTCATTTTCTCCCCCCTCTGGCATCCTTTAATGATTCTGTTCCACTATTTCTTCAACATTAACATAACTCTTGTCCCACCGATAATTGTCCTGTGGCGACTCGGCCCAGATGAGTTGCCGTAGACGCTCTGCATTCTATAAAGGCTAGCCCCGCATCACGTCTGCCTGATGTGGGACGCACGAAACAATTTATTAAACTTTTATACCAGCATATGAATGTGATGCATCAAATCCAGGGACAGCAGCATCAGCTCCATGATGAAATCGGTGTAATAAACGTAGGTGCCTTTGCTCTCCCAGGTGCCTTCATGATTCAGATCCCAGAGATGAATGATGTAACTGGGTGAAGGAAAGAGAAATCTTGAATTGATTTCCCTTGCCAGTTCTATGTGGAAGAGAGCAGCAGCATAAATCTTAAATCTGTCAGGTGCTAATATCAATAAAGGAGAATATTTGCAGCTCCGGGTTGAAATGGGGGGTCCTTGGTGCTCTCTGAATTTGATCAGGTGACCGTGAGGACCGTAAGTGTGAAAAACGGTCATAAGTCACTTTTTTCAGCGCCGGTCACTAAACGAATGCTTGTAAATTGAGGACGACCTGTATTAGATCCATTTTCAGCTACGCCCCATTGGCGTTATCTCTACCAGAAACTTAACCTAGTTACTGAATAAGAAAGTTCTTGGATTTTCACAATACGCTGAACCAGCGTTTCCCAACCTTAGCAATTTTAAGATACGTGGGCTTCAACCCCTACAATTCCCCAGCTGAACGCCACTAGTCCTATTTTTCACACTTTACATTTGAATGACTCCTTTTTAGGTTGCAAAACTCACTTTTATTGCATTTCTGGAAGGCGTCGATAATTACTTGCAAGCTCACAAAGGGGAGCAACAACAGAGGACAAAATAACCGCCCTCATTCTTAGGCCAAACGAATGACAGTCTAATATTGGGCTCACGCCCATGTTGTGAAGGAAATCCTACACAACCGGTTCAACGTAGATATCGTACTTACCGTAAAATCACGTGCACGGTTCTTACGGTGACAAGCAGGGACTGGAGGGGACAAAAAAAATTCACTGATCATTCTCTGAATCTTGAGCAGTTGCCACAAAAACAAGCACACGGCTTTTCCGGTCCTACGAGTTTAAATATTCTTTCCACATTCCACAGTTGGCAGTGGCCAAGATCACAAAAAGATTAAGTTACAGAAATTATATACGTGTCTTCCTGATCTTGGACACTTGCAGTTTTCTTCTGCACAATCCCCCCCCCCCAAAAAAATATCAGAGTAAGATATTTGTTGTAAGAACTTTTGGAGACAATTTTATTAAATGGGTAAGATTGATTTCTACCTCGGAGGAAGCACAAATAGTTGTTAATGGGGAACTGACAAAGCCCTGTGAGATACCAAAAACAGACAAGGCAAGCATTGTTTATTTTAGTTCTTGGAAGTATTGAACAGATATAAGACGAGATGAAAAAAAAATTATGTTGCTCAGCAAGGCGGAGTCATGTCCAACCTGTTTACCACAATTGTTAATTGAACCACTGCATTTGTTAAAAGAATTGTGTGGTCATTAAATGAATCCAGCTTCCCCCCATTGGCTTTGCTTGTCAGGAAGCCAGCTGAGGGGGTCACAAATGGTGATCACGTGATCCCAGAATGCTGTAATTGTCGTAAATACCGGTTGCTAAATGCCCGAATTTTGATCACATGAACATGAGGTTCTATGCTGGTCCTATATGCGAAGACCCTGTCACAAGACTAGAATAACACAGTTAGAAGGGACCTTGGAGGTCTTCTAGTCCAACCCCCTGCTCAGGCAGGAAACCCTACACCATTTCAGACAAATGGTTGTCCAGTCTCTTCTTAAAAACTTCCAGTGTTGGAGCATTCACAACTTCTGGAAGCAGGTTGTTCCACTGGTTAATTGTTCTAATTGTCAGCAAATTTCTCCTTAGTTCTAGGTTGCTTCTCTCCTTGATTAGTTTCCATCTGTTGCTTCTTGTCCTGCCTCCAAGCATTTTGGAGAACAGCTTGACTCCCTCTTCTTTGGGGCAGCCCCTGAGATATTGGAACACTGCTATCATGTCACCCCTGTTTCTTTTCTTTAGACTAGACATGCCCAATTCCAGCAACCATTTTTTAAATGATGATGATGATGATGATGAGTTGGAAGGGACCTTGGAGGTCATCTAGTCCAACCCCCTGCTCAGGCAGGAAACCCTATATCATTTCAGACAAATAGCTGTCCAGTCTCTTCTTAAAAACCTCCAGTGTTGGAGCATTCACCGCTTCTGGATGGCAGGTTGTGTTAGCCTCCAGTCCCCGAATCCTAAGTCTCCTTTTCCAGGGCCGTTATAACTTTGAATGGTTGCTAAACAAATGGTTGTAAGTCAAGGATTACCTGCAGGTGCTTCAAAGGAAAACTTCAACTCTGCTTATAAAAGCCTGCTTACGTTTTGATAAGCAATGCCAGTTCAGATTTTATTAGTTTACAGCCGCAGGACAGTTTGCAGAATTTATTTATTTTTTTAAATTCAGTGTGTTTTAGAGAGAAACCTAATGCTGGATCCATAGACAAGTTACGAGAGGAAAGTAAATAGGTAAAAAGGATAAGTAATGGGTAACAAAAAATGACTGTTGTATGAAGTAACTTGAAAGAGGAAACTGAATATTTGTTAACTCTGCTAAACAGGAAAAGCTTGCAAATCCTATGAAAGACAGGCTCAAAAAACAAACTACAGAACCACAGGTAGTTCTCAACCTGCGACCACAATTGAGCCCAAAATTTACGTTGCTAAGTGAGACATTTGTTAAGTGAATGTTGCCCCATTTACGGCCTTCACATTATCCAGGGACACGGCAACCGTCATAAATATGAACCAGTTGTCAGGTGTCTGAATTTTGATCACGTGACCGTGGGGACACTGTAACGGTTGTAGGTGTGAAAAAAAACAGTCATAAGTCACTTTTTTCAGTGCTGTTGTAATTTTGGCCACTAAATGAATTGTTGTAAATCAAGGACGACCTCTATTTATTTTATTTTTTAAAAAAAAAACCTTTTAAATTGAATAAAGTGCCGTTCAGAACAATCCATTGCTACTCAGAATCTCTGCCAGGCCTATCCTGACGCCCCCAAAAGGCCTGAGGGTCATCACAATGACACACTGAACACAAGAAAGGAATGTGATGCCACTGCAAAAGGACGCAGGTATTTAAGGGGTCCTGTCAATCAAGTCGAGGGGCCAAAATAGACAAGGTCTCTGGTCGGCTGGTAAAGCCGAGCTGGAGAACCGCCTGCATCATAACCAACTGCCAGGAAGACAAGAAGCTGGAAATTGCCATTCCCAATGCAGACAATCCAAACTCTTTATAGATTTTTTGGGGTATGTGTCAAATAAAGAATCAAAGGACTATAGTAGTTTGTAGAAAGGGAGGCTAAGCTAATAAATAGCCTATAAGTCTATTGAAACCTTTTAACCTTGGTAGGTCAAATGTGGCGGCTATTAGGCCAAGGCTATTAATTTTAATTATAATTACGTAATTATAAGGGTGAGAGTTTAAACTCTGAAGTGCATGCCTCCTGTGCTTATGGGAAGAGGTTTGGGAGGAGAACATTCCTAGCTGGCAAATGCTGCAATCCTGAACTGATTATATTAAAAACAAGGTTAAGAAAGACAGACAAATTTGTTCTTGAAAACGAGCTAGGTCAGGGGTAGGCAACCTTGGCTCTTTTATGACTCGTGGACTTCAACTCCCAGAATTCCTGAGCCAGCACAGCTGGCGATCACGTGACCGTGGGATGCTGCAAACACGGTAAACACATGCCAGTTGCCCAGTGGCCGAACCGTGATCACATGACCACGGGGAAAGCCGTGAGAGTCGTAAGTACGAGGAATGGTTGTAAGTCACTTCAGTTCGGGCGTAATTTTGAATGGGTGCAATACGAATGGTTGTTAAGTTACAAATGATCTGCGCTGGCTACTTAACCATATGAAAAACCAATTTCCAGCATATACAGGAAGTCCTTGACTTACCACACTTCGTTTACAACGGCACTGAAAAATGTGACTTATGACCATTTTTCACACTTACGACCATTGCAGCATCCCCATGATCACATGATCCAAATTCAGAGGCTTGGCAACTGACTCACATTTACAACGGTTGTAGTGTCCCGGGGTTACGTGATCCCCTTTTGCGACCATCTGACAAGCCAAGTCAATGAGGAAGCCAGCTTCACTTAACAACCGGGTTACTAGATAATCAACTGCAGTGATTCGCTTAACAACCGTAAAAATGGGGCAAACCTCGCTTAAGAAATGTCTCACTTAACCACAGATATTTTGGGCTCAACTGTGGTCGTTAAGTCGAGGACTACCTGTGCTGGCTAAAGACACAAAAATAAATGTAACACACAAACACAGCGTGTGCACAACGACGCCTGATGAACCAGAAAGCCTAAAAGGTATGTGATTTAATCGGGAATCTCACCTCCGCAGTCATGAAGGAGAGCGTGTGCATGCCGTGGGCGTAGCCGATGACACCGCACACCACCGCGAGGCCACAGCAGGAAAGCAACATGACAACCAGCAGCGTCAGGACTCGAATGTGGCTGTTCAACGGCGTGGTGGGCGAAAAAGACAACTGGAAAATACCAGCAAATGAGTTAGAAAATGGCCACAACTCTTTCTGGTCATCAGTTGAGACTATTCAGAAGATTCAGAACAACACCCCCCCCCCCCCCCATAGTTTGCCTTTAAGGAGATCTGGTGAATAGTTTCAAGTTAGTTTCAATCTGAAAGTTTCCAGGGTTTGAGAAATATTGTAATTGACTCTGGGCAGCTCTAGATGTATTATTCATTATTATGGCATCTCAACACATTGAGTAATCCTCTGTCTCTTTAAAAGCCACCAATGAGTGACAAGGGTTCTGAGCCTAGATGTGACACAGTCTGTATCCCCTGCCAAGAATCAACTTTCACAACCAGAACAGGAGATCAAAAGGAATTTTGGAAAGGTTAGCATTAAAGACCCAGCTCCATTACTCTATTCTAGCTTTTTGGCAGGGCACCCAAATTTGTGGCCCATTTCATGCACAAAAGAAAAGTGATTCTTGCACCCCCAAATATCAAATGACAAATTGGAGTTCCCCTATCCCTTGCCCAGATATGTGGAGAAATAAACTTACATATTCAAACCTGTCTTTGCACAGCTGGACCATGAGATGTAAGAAGACAAGTCCAGAAAACCAGAGACACCACATGACCACTTCATCTACCGTCTGGACATTTAACACCCCAAAAATAAAAATAAACTTGTAGAAGATAAAGTTCCAAAACTTGTCCTTGAGATGCTGAAAAAGAGATTTGCACAGAGAGTCATTATTCTTGAATTATTCAAAGGTCATATCACACAGTGTGAACTATTATGCAATAGGATAAGCTATAATTGGGTCACTAATTGGTGAATGGATGTTTAACTAAACTGCAGAGGGATAGTCATGCGTAATTCACTTAAGGTTTATTCTAAAATTGAAGCATACTACTTTCTTTCTGAACATTTAATAAATTAAAAAAAAGATAAAACATACTGAGTAGCTATTTTTGAATAATTTTCGGGGTGTGTGTGTGTGTGTGTGTGGAATTGCACCTAAAAATTAAAAATTTTGCTCTCATGGGCTGAGATAATAAAAATATGTGATGCACATTAAAGAATATGAATTTAATGAATATAATTCACCCATCACTCAACATTCGTTAAACTTAATGGTCATGCCAAACCATCATTCCTTACCTGCCTTTCACTAACACGGAGGGGACCAAAAACAATGGTCTGTATTAACTTTGCAATCAACATCAGAATGCAACAGGCTGTATTCACCAGCACCTGGGGGGAAATAAAATAAAATAGAAGAACTAGAATTAGAATTGTTAGGTATTAACTTTATGTCCCACCCATCTCACTATCAAGCAACTTTGAATACAACAGAATCTCACTATGAATAGAATAGAATAGAATAGAATAGAATAGAATAGAATAGAATAGAATTATGGGTTAGAATAGAATAGAATAGAATAGAATAGAATAGAATAGAATAGAATAGAATAGAATAGAATAGAATAGAATAGAATTATGGTTTAGAATAGAATAGAATAGAATAGAATAGAATAGAATAGAATAGAATAGAATAGAATAGAATAGAATAGAATCCATCGCTGGAGGTTTTTAAGAAGCGATTGGACAGTCATTTGTCTGAAATGGTATTGGGTCGCCTGCTTGAACAGGATGTTGGACTAGAAAACCTCCCAAGGTCCCTTCCAGTTCTGTTATTCTGTTTGGAGCGGAGCAGAATGGAACAGAACATGGAATGGAACAGAACAGCTCATCTGTAAACTGAATCTCAAAAAGAACAAGAGTACCAAAGTGTCCTAAAACTCAGATTTACTTGGGACAAAATGTAACACCCACTTAGGACAGCCAACAGCCGCATATGCAGGCTGTGGAAGATGAGAACCCACAACTACTAACATTAATATAGCATCTCTTTAAAATTTGTAATCAAAATGATGTGTAGCAAACAAAGCAAAGAACAAAGACATATTAATACACACTTCATTATTTAAAGTCAAAAGATTTCAAACAAGGGCTAATCCGCAGTTATGAGAATCAAGCAATTAATAAGAAGCTGTAATTCTGATTGCACACCGTAGACATACACCTTCTTGTCTGTCATTTTTATGGCATTTATCCATAACACCCGAGTCACCATCTAGGTTTTAATTACGTATTCAGTGGTTTATTCTGGAGTTAAAAATATGACAGGGCTTGATGTTTTCACTCCACGTACATGTAAAACAACAGAAGTCACATAATGAAAAAAATCTGATACAAGCCAAAATAGATTTTTAAGTAGATCTGACTAATTCAGCTATACATAAGCAAGTCATTCATCCTAACCATTATTTCTTGCAACCCGAGAATCCTTTACACAAAACCTTGCAGAACAAAGTTCAAAAACAACTCTATAGGTGATGGGAGCTGCAATCCAAAAAACCCCTGGAGGGCATCCAGCTGTTCATCCCAGGTTAAGAATCATGCCTGTACCCCAACTCTTCTTCACATTGACTTCAAAGCAACTCCAATGCCCCCTCTCCCCCAGTTCTTTAGGCCCTCATATCTTCCCCTGGACTGCAAGGCCATCAAACCGGTCAGTCCTAGAAGAGATCAACCCTGACTGCTCTTTAGAAGGCCAGATCCTGAAGTTGAAACTCAAGGACTTTGGCCACCTAAGGAGAAGGAAGGACTCACTGGAGAAGAGCCTAATGCTGGGAAAGATGGAGGGCAAGAGAAGAAGGGGATGACAGAGAATGAGGTGGCTGGATGGAGTCCCTGAAGCAGTAGGAGTGAGCTTAAATGGACTCCAGAAGATGGTAGAGGACAGGAAGGCCTGGAGGAACGTTGTCCATGGGGTTGTGATGGGTCGGACATGACTTTGCAATTAACAACAACAACAACACCTTCCACAATTTCCTTTATCATACTACACGGACCCCAGAAAACATCTTCTACCCACACATCACCCAAAGCCCACCTAGACCTGGGAAGCTTCCTAGAGCTTTCTGGAGGTCCCTCCCACTCAATCCAACCTACACAGGGTTGCTTTCATGAGTGGTCTGACCAGCTCACATCTCCTCTTCCTGTCCTAATTTTACTTCCTGACTGACACACTGGCCCCACAATTGTGCTATTGGCCCAATTTTCCCAACATGGCTAGGAGATAAGGGCCTCTTTGGACAAATGCCATCCTCCTGGTCTATGCTGGCCTCGGATGATAGGGCTTCTCCAAATGAGACTGACCCACAACTGTCATCACTCTCTCTGTTTGTTGTACAGATGAGAAAGAAGAGTAGGCATGGGTCCTTTGATAGCGAGGTAGGCCCATCCAATGCTTTTTGACTACAATTCCCAAAAAATTGGACAGCCGAGGAGGATGGAGCTCTCCAAATGCTGGTGGCCAACACGGTCTCTGAAGACCCATCCCTCAATCCCACTGATGAGGAGGGAGCCTTCAGCAGCAGCCTCTTCTGCCAGCCGGGATGGCTAAGGGTGGGACTACAATGCCCATCTTCCCTGAAGACGCTGGCCAGGGTAGAAGAAACTAGAATTGGGACACTCCCACGCAGGGGGGCAAAGAGGTCCCCCAAAGTTGATGAACTATCCCTGCCATTGCCCTCTCCTAGCAGCTAGGGAACATGGGAGTCAGAGTCCATGCCTAAGGCTCTCGAATCACCCCTCTTATTGTTCAATATTTCCAGCTGGGGATCATGGGAGCTGGAGTCCCAAGGAACCCGGAGCACCCAGCCCTGCTACCTAGGCATAATGAGGGTCACCCCCAGAAGATGCTGCCTATTGACACCGCCGGAGACCATCCTACCCATGCCCCCCTCCTGCTAGCTGGGGAACATGGCATTGAGAATCTGCTTCTGAGCTCTCCAATCACCCCTCCTATCACCCAGTCCTCCCAGCTGGGGACCATGGGAGTCAGACTCCACTCAACACTCTCCAGGAGCGCCCAGTTGTGCTAGGAGGGCAGGCCAATCCCCAGAAGGAGCACCCTCCCTGCCTCCCCAGGCTCCTATACTCCCCC